TTTTTTTATTTTGCTAAATTTGCCCCATAAGAAAAGAACTTAATCCCAGTTGATGTGCGAGTGTGTTATTAGCTGTAAAGCAGGGATGGTGATAAAGAGAATCCATCCTCAACAAATAAAAGTTAATGCAAAGGTGATTTGAAGAAACCACAATGAGTATTTTTATGATAACATGATTATGTGTAATGTGGCGTTATGGCTTAACGCTGCAGCTCCTTTTATCTCTCAGCTTATTGCTCAGATTTTACAGCCTGTAACTGTTTTGGTTCACTCATTCCTCTCAGGGGTTTTTTTTTTTCTAGCAATAAGCTCTAAAAAGCCGCTGCACGCTTCCTGCTTAGCGCCAGACAGAATGATGTGGTGTAAAAGCAGCAAGCTGAATTTCACCTTCACCACATGCTTAATTAAAGAGCAGATCTAATTTTCCTCTTCATTCTCTATTCACAAACATCCGACAGTGAGGTTGTCTCAACTCATCAGGTAGCTGCGCGGCTAAACTGATTTTCTCATCCTTGTAGAGTAGACGGTGTTGGAGGCTCATCGGCAGCAAAGTCAACATACAGTCATGGGAAAAAGTGCCTCCAATGAAAACTACTGGCTTCTATTGGCACATTTTGACAAGCAAACACTTGATCCTCTTTGAAACAGCGGCTGTTATTCAACAGTCAAGCAAATGACACATAAAGTTGGCACTCTGTAGTCATTTTCATAACTGAAATACATTTTCTTAATCCTCACTAAGGTCATGGGGGGCTGGAGTCTATCCCAGCTGACTCAGGGTGAAGGCAGGTTTACCTGGACAGGTAACCAGTCTATCACAGGGCTACACTTAGAGACAGACAACCAAGCACACTCACATTCACACCTACGGACAATTTACAATCACCAATTAACCTCAACATGTTTTTGGACCTTGTGGGAGGAAGCTGGAGAACCAAGAGAGAACCCACGGTGCACGGGGAGAACATGGAGACTCCACGCAGAAAGATCCCGGGCGTCCTCACCGGGATGCGAACCGGCGACCTTCCAGTTAGTGCTAACTCCTCTGACACCTTCAAAACCACAGAATTGGAATCAAAGGTTCCAGATTTGGTGCCCCTGACTAGAACCTACTCGGAGATGGTAGGTGACGCCTTATTTAAATCAAGTTTCCTCTCTTGTTAACATGTCCATTTAAAGCTTTTTGCATAATAAAAGACAACAGCAGTCAACACCACAGCTGAGCATTTCCACTTTCAAACTGCAAACGATCATCTCAAAAGCACAGATTCAGACTTGCAGAGTTTCTTATGTCACAAACCTAAAGAACCAATCGTGTTGACTCTCTGGTGTTATCATTGACCTTCAGAATCGGCTTCTGGTTTCAGCATGTACGGCTGCATTGGTCCAGTATTACTACTTGCCACCGTGTAAAGTTTGATAGGATTCACTTTACTTCGACGCACTTTGATGAGTTTTTAGAGGTTAAATCAACGACCAGAGAGCGATTTTAAAACCTCTGACATCTCATTTCTGCTGTTCTCTTCAAGTGTCTGGCATCATCACGCCAAGTTCTAAAGAGCTCTCTGAGGCCCCCGCAAAAGAAAAAGAAAAAGAAAAAGAAAAAAAAGATTGAGGATGACTACGAGTCTGGCAAGGGATTTAAAAAAAGATCTCCAAATTATTTGAAATGAATCATTCCACTGTAAAGAAAATCATCCACAAGTGGTGTGGATTTCAAAGGACTGCCAATTTGTCCAGGACTGTCCGCCCCCCCAGCAAATTCAGCCCTGAGAGCAAACTGAATTCTGCATCGAATCAAGGAGCGCTTGAAGATAATGCGAGGCCAATCGAGAGCTGAAGTTGAACCGGAAGTGGACTTTTCAACAGCTGCGGAGGGATTTTAGGGATTTGAAACGAGCGCTGCACGCAGGAAAACCTTTGAACTTCTTGCAATTTAAGAAATTTGGCGTGGAAGAGACTGAAGAACGACTACTTGAAGGGGTTAATACGAGGTTCTGACGTCAAAGGTCACTTTTTACACAGAAGAATGTGACATCTAGTGATACTTTTGTTGAATAAATGACTGAAAAAGCTCATTTTTATTGTGGCTGTGCTCCAGTATATCACCTGTATTTGTAGGCACTGTAACCAAAATAATTGTCCAAATAATTAAAAACAGAATTTCTATTGGATGTACTTCATCACATGACTATATTTACACCATCCGCTGCATCTCCTCTGTCTAAGAATTCCTAGAAAGCAGGTTTAAAGCATGTTTTTTAAACAATGCAACACTTTATTTATGTCAGAAATGTTCTAAATGCTGGTGACTACATGTGAATTTGTGTTGATCTTCGCTAAAAGCACTCAGCAAACTTCAGATGAAATGAATTCATTTGAGTGTTGCTACACCTGAGATCTTACTTCTCGTGTGAAGGTGCCTGCATGGCGCTTCTCAGCAAACACAGACATTAAAAACACAACAACAGTGTCTGCTGCTGTTGCTTCACATGTACACGTATATGTGACTGCGTCCCGGGAAGTTTACCCTTTTGAAGCTCTCAGATTAGTAATCTCCGTGAGTGCTGGTTGCGGACTTGTGGAGGCACTTGTGACCTGGTCGGGTTGTGTGTGTGTTTTATGCTGCAACCTGCATGCCAGTTCAAAGTCGCCTCGTGCTGCATGAGGCGGGAAGGTGGAGGGGGGGGGATGAGAGGACACATGAAAGCAGCACTCAACAACATGTACTGTCTAAAAAGATCACAGAGCCAAACGGCGAGGACCAACATAAACAAATCAAACGCACCTTACATTTTGAAGGGTTTGTCCAGTGAAGTGCACCCACATGTTGGGGGCTCTTAGCAACATGGATGCAGCAGATGTCTCCAGGAGGAGGAGGAGGAGGAGGAGGAGGACACTGTAGTGGTCTGATGCAAAACTAATAAGTTGTTAATATATCACAGAGAAGAGGACATTCTATGTTAACATACTGGAAGAAAATTTTCAGATTGATTTATGCATCTTCACCAATATATTTACCATAAATGTGCCTTGGGGGGAAAATGGCTGCAAATCAAAAATTTAGCTTGATATCTCCTTGAACTCCACAAAAAAAAAAAAAAAAAAAAACATCTTCCCGCTATGACTGCTGGTGCTCATCTCCACTTCAAACATTCGTTTTATTATGTCGAACGCGACGCCGAACAATGGGAATATTGACAGTCGTGTGTTACGAACGAGCCAGGTTGTTTGAGTATTTTAGCGCGTCGGGCTCCCAGGCGGGCTGTAGCTTTCTGAAAGCCCTGTATTGTATTTCTTTCCTGTGCCAGAGCCCGTTTCCTGTGGCGGTGCCGTGTCAAACAACGATGACCCTCCGCTTCCTGCAAGTCGCATGGAGACGGGCCTGCCACGAGCCCTGGGGCCTCACCGCCAGCCACCGAACAACCTCCGAGCCCCCACTCCGTCGAGTCATTCTCCTCCTTAACCTTTCTGGATCTCACTTTGTTTCCCCCCACCGCCCTTTAACTTCTGTTTTCTTCCATTCATTCCTCCACCTTCATCCCTCTTCCACTATTTTCTTACTTTCCACCTCCCGCCTGCCCTCTCCTCCTTCGTGCTTCCCTCCGTCCACACCTCCTTTCCTCTCAGCATCCCTTCTTCTTCCCCTCCTCCCTTTGTCCCACTCTCTCCAGGTCAGAAGAGGGTCTGTCAGACGTTTCCTGTGCGAGTTGCAGCGCCAGACCACACCTTGCGAGGGGATTTCTGCGACCGTCAGTGAAGAGAAACGTGCTCCATGTATAAATACGCTGCGCTTCGCGACACAACGAAAACATACAATTTGTTTTTGGGAATGAGCTGCGACCGCTGAACTTGTCGTCTGTAGAATAAAAAGAAACTTGTGGGAAAAATGTGGAGAACTTGCAGCGCATTACATCATCTAGAATAAGCAAAAACAAGACGTGCACTGTGTGTATTTTCAGCTAATAAAAATCAAAGTGACTCTGAGCGGACAGCTGTCAGCCTCCTTCGTAAGTCAAGTTCCTCTGAAAAAAAAAGATGTTTTTCAATCATGGGCAGAAACCCCGGGGTCACATCCCGACTTTGGAGTATGAGAAAGCTGTCAAATCCTGCATTACTATTAGTCCCTATAGAAATCAACCACATGATAGGGGTTAAACGCTCAACTTGCCTGATGTCTATCACGGCCAAATCAAGTCGGGACTACTAGTGGAGATTTTAAACGGTTGACGTGTGTTGAAATAAACTTTTAACGGCAGATTACCTTCGACAGATCTCCCTCTGCATGTTGCAGAGTTACTTCAGTGTTAGAGTCCTGGTGTTCACGAGGCCACATTAGAGTTGAACAATGAATCAACTGCAATCTGAAACAATGCAATTAGCAAAATACTGCAATTTAGAACAAAACGAGAATAATGATGTCATTTAGTCTGATTAAAGCATGTTGGTGTTCATGTTTGCTCAGTGATCAACTACGTGCCTTTTGCATCCGTGTTGTAGTTTGACATAAGCTCAGTGTTATTTAATTGCAGTTTAATCACGTTTTAAATCTAACAACCGACTACAAAAAAAAAATCATTCAGCCCTCGTGCACGTGTCGCAATTTCCCGATCCTCCACGAGTCTTTGAACTGACTTCTCATCTCCTTCCACCCGAGGTCGTGAGTGTGCACGGACACGTGTGCCGGCAGCAATAACACACTTCGCTGTGCATCTCTGAAAATGACTTCTCTGGTCTTCTTCCAGTCCAGGTCAGAGGCAGGAAGCGAGCGGAGAGAAAAGGAGGAAGCAGAAGCAGCTCTCTCTGGATGCAGGTAGTGACCCTGAACCTTGACCTGCAACCTCACCCTGCAAAACACTCTGACAAAACACAGATGTGCAAATACAGCTCCAAATACCTGCCGTTGCCGAGGTGAGGAGGTGTTTTAATACCTTTAATCCCGTCATAAGGCAGCTGAGTCTTTGCTAATGTCGAAAAAAAAAAGACATTAACTTCCAGTGTTATAATTTATCTGTTTATTATCTGACAACAATAATATCAGCATGTTGCTTTTGTTCACTTATTACATGTACAGAAGTGGTCAGAAAGCAGTATGGACTCATGAACGTTGTTCACACGATCATCCATCCTTCTTTCCTTTATCAAACTGTTGGACAAAGTTGGAGGTACAGCTGCTGAAAAGACCGTTCAAGCATGAGCCCTGTCCAAATCCAACCCTCAGACCAAACACTGATAAAGGTGCCAAACGCAGCATCCTTAATCCTCGTGTTTACATCTGACAGATTTAAACCCTGGAAATGTTATCGATGTATCAACGGTCACAAGTATTCAAGCTGTTTTTGGACAGAGCCCATGATTTCGGAGAGGGGGGTGACTGGATTTCTGCCTCACCACCTCCAGAAGAATAACCTGCTGCCATATTTGGCAGGCACCAGTTTGTCCTCCGGGACCGGGAGAGGTTCAGGACTTGGTCTAGAATGCTCGGGGTTCTCTGGGAAGGGCCGCGGGGTCGCCACTTTGGTCACCTATGAAGGGAAAGAACATGCATCCCATGACTTGCCAACGATACAGCAAACACATTAAAG